GTGAGTGAGGTGTGCGCCCTGAGCTGGAACCTGCTGGCGCTGGGGGGGGCGGCGTGAGTGAGGTGTGTGCCCTGAGCTGGAACCTGCTGGCGCTGGGAGGGGGAGGGCGGCGTGAGTGAGGTGTGTGCCCTGAGCTAGAACCTGCTGGCTCTGAGTGACCAGAGGGGCTTAGGGCCACCCCTCGTGCTCAGTGGCTTCATGGCGTGGAGCAGTGACCGCAGCAGCATGTGCCACGCTCAGGAACCCAGCACCGCGCCCTCGGAGCTCGCCTCCCTGAGGGCATCTGCCATCGCACCTCGCCATGGCTCTTGGACCTTGCTTCCCACGGTGCACCACTGGACCTGACTTCCCTTATGCATTATGGCAGTGAGGAGGTTCTCCTGGCTCAGGGTGCCATGTGGATGGACGCACAGGGATGGCACCACGTTCCTAGCCCCGCTGCACTCAGCCTGGCAATGGAGACCACCTGAGGGCCCCCTCCACCGACCAAGGTTCTCCAGCATGGGTAGAACTTGCCCCTCCCCTCACCCAGCCCTGGGCCAGGGCATCGGACACTTCTCTGCCAACAGCAGCCCATACCCTCGAGACGGGTCAGGGAGGGCCACAACAGAAAGGTGTGTATGAAAAAGAACAAAGGAACAGCAAACAGGCATGACCTGCAGCTTTTCCTGGGCAACCCCAAATCCCCTCTGTGCTCTGCCTGGACTGGGAACTGGAGGGTCTGCAAGCTACAGGCTCATGGTGAGAGCAACGAGCACACCACTCAGCTGCCCACCCAGCGGCTCAGCACTGGGGAAGGGCGCTTGCAGGAGGGAGTGGGGGAGGACGGAGAGGACCACGGAAGGGAGTGGGGTTCGACGGAGAGGACCACGGAAGGGAGTGGGGGAGGACGGAGGGGACCACGGAAGGGCGCTTGCAGGAGGGCGTGGGGGAGGACGGAGAGGACCGCGGAAGGGTGCTTGCGGAAGGGCGTGGGGGAGGACGGAGAGCACCGCGGAAGGGAGTGGGGGAGGACGGAGAGGAGGGGAAGGGGGGGAGGACAGGAAGGGAACTGGGGGAGGAGCAGGCAAATTGGTTGGTGGAAAAGATTAGCATGTGGCCAATGAGGGGCAGCACCGTGACTGACAGTCTAAGCACAGAGAGACAGCGTGGTGGGGGCCAGAGTATCAGCTGACGCATCTGAGGATGGAAGGAGGGCTCGGCCGCACTCACGGCTACCTCCCAGGTTCCACCACAGCTGTCTGTGCACAAACACGGACGTTTTGAGAAGGACAGAAAACTGCTCCCTGACCCTTAGCAGAGCTGGTGTCCCAGAAACAGGTACACGTAACGGGCTGTGGGCTGTGGGCCTCACCTGACTCTCTCCCTGCACACACTCCCGGATGTGAGGTATGTGTGTGCAATGGCCTGTGGGCTTCGGGGCTCATGTGACTGTCCCGGCACACTGCTTGCACACACCCCTGGACGTGAAGCAGGTGCATGTGCTGAGCTGCCGGGCTCACCTGACTCTTTGCTGGCACACTGCTCGCACACACTCCTGGACGTGAGGCAGGTGTGTGCACTGCACTGTGGGGCTCACCTGACTCTCTCCCGGCACACTGCTCGCACACACTCCTGGACGTGAGGCAGGTGTGTGCACTGCACTGTGGGGCTCACCTGACTCTCTCCCGGCACACTGCTCGCACA